ATTGCCTGCACCCCGTTCATTCCGCAGCAGCCGGAGCCCCGCCCAGCTCCAGGAGTGGACCCTGACTGGTGGAAGCCTGCTGGGGCGGGTCCTTCTCCAGGCTACAGGGAATGGCCCACGGATGGGCCCACGACCCAGCTGGTCCCCAGAGAAGCTCAGGACTTTTGTTTAATGACTGGAAATGAAAGGCCTTTCCCACCTCAGTTATGAATAAGGAAGTTTGTAGCAGGGCATTTGGCAGCCATCCTGTGGCCATGAGGAGAGGCCGACTTCTACCACATGAAAAGGAGATCCCAGATACGGGCACCAACTCTGTCTTTGGTGGTAGCTCTGAGCCAATACATTTTCCTTATGATTAAAGCCAGCTTAGATTACATTTTTCTGTTCTTCAATCAAAGGCGAGTTCACTAACACACCATTTAATATCAACAGGAAGTTTGATAAGCATGTTCTCCTTTATGTTACCTAAGTTGTCAACAAAGCTGTTGAATAGAGGAGATGTCAATATTGTTTCCTAGAGCAGGGAAAAAATTGTGACATTTGTTTTAAGAAAGAACTTCAAAGTTCTTAAAACATTGTGAGGTATTTAGCTGATGGCTCATAAACAGTAACACCACCTCTCTGCACATCTGTGGACCTGCCTCTGCACATCTGTGGACCTGCCTCTGTACATGTCGGACCTGCCTCTGCACATCTGTCAGACCTGCCTCGACTCTCTGGCATTTCATTGTCCCCTTGGCTCGTGGGGTCTGGAGCTCCGCTCAGCACCCCGTGCTGCCACCTTGCCACTCAGACCCAGGGCTGTCGTACCCCCACTTCTTTCCGTCCACACAAACCTCGTTTTCTCAGATCTCATTCCACACGAATGGCCCTCACTCTGCTTCCCAGTGAAACGAACAAGTCCACTCATTTATCTGTTCAGATTCATTCAACAAGAGTGTGTTGAGCACATGTTGTCATAGATTTCTTAGGAAAACCCGCTCCAACTAATGTAAGCAGCACAGAGTTTATTAAATATAATGACTCTCGAGAAAAGTTAGGAAACGGCTCGGGTGCCACCCGCTGGAGCGGGCACCAGGAGCCCACCTGACCACAGCACTGCACCGCTCCGCGAACGCTGCCGCTATCCCCACTTGGCACGGAGACACTGAGTCCTGGATGCCAGAAGCTTCCCTGCAGCTGCCACAGAAAACCCAGGTGCCTTTGTTGCCACGCTGTCCTGCCAATCTGATCTTCCCCGTGGCCCCACCCTCCTCGCTCACCCCCCGAGTTCGCAGGGTGCCCACTCCATGAGCTGCGGAGAGACTAGGAAATGTCGTTTTATAGGAAGTAAAGCTAGAATGGGGGTTGGCACGAGAGCCGAGTGAGACGATTCATTGGCACCACATGTGCTGGGCGCTGGGCGCTGGAAGCTGCTCCAGGCGGTGGGGACAGAGCAGTGAACAGGAGAGACGATGCCCCTGTCCGTGTGGAGGAGAGTCTAGTGGGGAGGCAGATAGCTAGCAGGTAACAAATGAGATTTCAGATAGCTATAAGAAAAATAAAAGGGAGTAACAGCTTCGAGACGGGGGTGTTGCCATCTCGAAGGGGATTTGGGGGAAGCCCTGTGAAGCAATGACCTCTGAGCAAAGATTTGCGTGATGAGAACGGTCCGGGGAAAAGGAGCAGGGAGTCTGAAGGCGGAGGGCGGGGTGAGCTGGGCAGGGCAAGGGCGGTGGGACCAATGGAAGTGTGACAGGAGGTGAGGTCACGGGCGGCAGGGGCCAGGCTCCCAGGAATGGGCTCATGAGACTGGGCATGTGCAGGAGGCGGTAAGCAAGGCCGTGGCCTGATGTGACTTGCATTTCATGAAGCTCTCTCTGGCTGCCGTGTGGAGAGTGGACCACGCGAGGGCAAAAGGAGACAGAATGGAAGACGTGCGTTGTCCAGGGCAGGGGTGGTGGAGGCTGTCACTGGCGTGTGGCAGAGGGGGGGCAAAGTGGGCCAAATCTGGGTATGTTTTGTAGTCAAACCTAATAGCACACTGCTCCAGGTCGGGTGTCAGAGGCGAGGGGAAATAAGGAATAGTGCCCAAGACACTGGACGGAGCCAGTAGGCGGATGGTGGTGCCATTAATAATGGGTCAAGTCTGGGAAAGAATCAGGTTTAGGGGTGAAGGGTAGAGGAGTCAGGAATAGACACCCGACATGTAGAGCTGCCACAGGGATAAGCTCAGGGACGAGGTGAGGCTGATGATGTGACCTGGGAGACATCAGGATATAGATGTATTTAAAGCCAGGGGATTGCCCCTGGCCAGTTTGGCTCAGCGGTTAGAGCGTTGGCCTGAGGACTAGAGAGACCCGGGTTCAGTTCCCGCCAAGGGCATGTACCTCAGTTGCAGTTTGTCCCCGGCTCCGGTTGGGGTCGTGCGGGTGGCAACCAGTCGATGTGTCTCTCTCACATCCATGTTTCTCTCTCTCTCTTCCCCCCTCACCCCCTCCTGCTCTATCTGAAGATAAATGCAAAATGTCCTCCAGTGAGGATTAAAATATAAATCACTAAAGCAAGCCAGGGGACTGGGTGAGCTCACCCAGAGAGAGGGTGCAGCTAAGAAAGAAGAGGGTCAAGGATGGAGCCCTGGAACACTCCAGTATTTATAATTTGGGAAGAGGAAAAGGAAGTTTCATTAACTGGTTTTTGCAGAAAGATGGAAACCTGGAAAGTGTGGTGTCCTGATTACTAAGGGAACACTGTCCCCGAAGGAGGCCATGGATGCTTTGACTCAGAAGCCTAGTAAGATGGTGACCGATGCTTTCGGCTGATGACCTTGCAAAGAGCCACCTTAGTTTAGTACTATGGTGGGCATGCAGGATGGGAGTGATCCAGGTGAGGGAGAGAAAGTGATTAGAGGGGAGAGGGGTTAATTGTAGGAGCAAAATAGGTGAGGAGAGACGAAGGAGAGGACGGAGGGCTGGTCTAGGAGCAGGACAGTGGCCGGAGGAAGGGTGGAATGTGGACTTGGCGACGGGGCTTGCGATGCTTCTGGTCAGGCTGCTTCCATCTGGTGAGGAGGGTGTGTGGCCATCAGCTCGGACCGCAGGCGGGGAGAGGAAGCTGAATAGAGGACTGGAGCGAAGGGACGAGGTATGACGGCCTCATTTCTGAGAGTGGCAAAGTGATTGAGAGAAATACCACTGGATTTCTGGTTGGTAGGAAATCTCCGGTCATGAATTTAAAGCAAGACCAATGGTGTCAGTTGTATGTTTTTGCTCAAACCAGGCTTCGAAAAGAATGCTCCCGCCTTGTTTTGTAAACTAAAGGAGTAGAAGTTCTGATGGTGGGGATCCCACACCTGGGAGGGGGGAGAACTAGAGCAAGGGCAGGTGTTGGCAGTATTTTCAAGAGCCAGGGCGCTGGGGTGCCCCTGAACTCACGTCTGTGGGTGGCTTATTTCTCATGCTTTGCAGTGGGCATCCTAGCACTGGATTCACCTTCCCAGGAAAACCCTGAACCCCGATGGCTCTTCTGAGGAGAACACGCCGCAGCCTTTCATTCCTCTCCCATCCGCCCATCTAGAACCTTCCTATTAGGTCTCTAAGACACCAGGCATGAGATGAGCCTGTTAAACCAACATAAGGGACTCCTCTCGCTTAGTCATAGCAGACATGTAGACTGCACTTATTGGCCAGAGATGCTCAAAGCAATTGGAACATCTTCACTTTTAATCTTCCCTAGTACCTATGAGGCAGGTACTGCTTTGCCCTGTACTCCTGACGAGGAGACTGAGGCAGAGATGTTAAGTGACCGGACCCTGGTAAGCCCAGAATTCGGACCTGGACAGTCTGGCACCAGAATTTGGGGTCTCCACCACTAACCGCTACTGCCTGTTTTGTTTTTGTTTTTGCTTATGAATCTGTAAGTTTTACTTTTTAAAAATTGCTCAAACATGTATAACTCCAGTGAGATAGTAGTGCCATATTAAATTTTATATTTTGATCACCAGTAAGAGAATTCACCTTCATGAATAGATGTATTTTATACAGCTGAGATTTTTATCATTCTACAGGCAAAGAAAGTGTAATTTCCTCGTCAAGTATCCACCTATTTCAAATATCAAGGGCTTTAAGCACAAATGTGCTGGAAATTTTATAATTGAAAATAAATTACTAGCCTGGCCAGAGTGGCTCAGTTGGTTGAGTGTTGTCCCATGCACCAAAAGGTTTCGGATTTGGTCCTCTGTCAGGGCACATAGCCAGGTTTGGGGTCCATGCCCCAACTGGGGCACATACAAAAGGCAACCTATGTATATCTCTCTCACATCGATGCCCCCCACCACCACCCCATCTCTCTTTCTCCCTTCCTCTCTAAGCATGTCCTTGGGTAAGGATTAATAAATAAATAAATAAGCATCACCAATGAAGAGAGGCAGCTTCTAATAAGTCAATATGTAGTTTTTGCTGTGAAACTAACATTTAATTTTGAGTTGCTTACAGATTTAAGTTTACTAGTTGAAGGCCAATTATATCCGTTAAAAATTATTTATCATTTCAAAGTTTTAAAAAATACCATTTTGTCCATTTAAAACTTTTACTTTTCTGGTTAAGGCTACTTCAGACATAAAAGGGATCAAAATAATACCGATCTGCCTCTTTACCTTGAGGGTGAGCAGACAGACTAAGTTTGGGAGCATGTCTCACATTTGGCGTGATTTCCTCTGGACTCTCTGTGGGGGCTCCCAGTGGCTGACGGCAGAACACTGGCGGGTCCAATTGTGCAGGAGTGGTATCACGCGCCCAGAAACTGCAGGCTCCGTAGTGGTATGTCTTTGCTACATTTACTTCATTCCGTCTTCAGCATCCCTGCACCGAATATGGTGAAGGTATCTCCTCTGAGCTCGGGTTTGGGGTGTCACCCTGCATTAGTGTATTATTTCCTTTTGTGCTTTCACTGCAGCTGTCACTCAGCTGCCGGATGGGCATTTCCCGCTGGGCTGACGACCTGCTTTTTCTGCCTTACCACAGGTGATCATCGCCCTTTCGGAAAAGCACCGTTCGCACATCCCATACAGGAACTCCATGATGACCAGTGTCCTGAGAGACAGTTTGGGGGGGAACTGCATGACGACCATGATTGCCACACTGTCCCTGGAGAAAAGGAACATCGATGTATGTTGGTTTTCTTCTGGAGCTCTCGGTCTGAGTTTGCGTGTTAGTCTGTGTGATGGAGTTGAGGGTCCTGGGTGGTTCCCATCTTTCCAGCTGGGTTAGGGTTAGGGTTAGGGTTAGGGTTAGGGTTAGGGTTAGGGTTAGGGTTAGGTTCGAGTACGCCCCACAGAACTCAGAGCTTTGGGTTACTTGTCAGCATCGCAACTGCCCTGTTTGAGAATCAACTTCACGTAGCACAGGATGGTTTGAAGAAGCCTCATACACAAAGTTCTGAAGACCTGCTGGTGGGTTGGTTCGTTACCTTGGCCAGATTCTCCTGCTCCATTTTGCTCTGGCTTACTAAGGTACCTTGGCGACATCTCCGAGATGTGTGCCTCAGCATGTCTCTGGGCACAAACCCAGGACCCTTTGGCAGGGCTGGCCACCCAGTAGCTTTCCAGGGTTGCTTTAAAGATCTAGCTCATGTTTGATGCATTTAAGCTTAATGTTTTTTATCCAGACTTTCTCCAAAAGAGGACGTGGCAGGTGCCTCTCACCCGAGGCCGAGCCCCCGGGCACTGTGACATGCCTAAAAGCCTCTCCTCTTGGCTCGTTACAGACATTTCTCTTGTCATCTTTCACGCTCACGGGTCATGGTGCCTGCTCTGACTGTGGCGTGCGTGTGTGGTTCTGCTGTAACAAGCAGTAGCTGAGAAACACATACGAGTTGCCGCTTGGGACCTCAGCATCTCCCACACCTTTGGCCCGGATCATTTTGTTGAGCCCAACGTTTTGATAAAAAAGGATGTTCTGGGTCAAAACTCCCTAATCTGGAGGCACGCTTCTTCTTCACGCCGTCTACACGTCGCTCTTCGGACGCGCGGTCTTCCCTCTCCCCTCTCTGCGTGACATGCACGGTGTCGCCTTGCTTCCGCAGGAGTCCATCTCCACCTGCAGATTCGCACAGCGGGTGGCGCTCATAAGGAACGAAGCTGTTCTCAACGAGGAGATTGACCCCAGATTGGTAAGCAGCGTTCCACTGACTGTGTTAAAACCAAAAACCAAAACCAAAGATCAGCTAAACGGTGGGAGCACTTACTCCCCGTAACCAGGCAACTTCCTAAGTCCTGGGAACACTGACTCGTTTCATTCTCACAACAACCCTATGAGGAGATGCCATCTCTCTCTCCATTTTACAGATGACAAAACCGAGGCACAGGAATGATACTAACTTGCTCAGACTCACAGTGCTGATAAGTAGCAGACCCGGGGTTCAGACACAGACAGTGTGACCCAAGGGCCTGTGCGCTGACCTGCAGTTCCCGTAAGTCTGCGAGGAAGGTGCGCAGGGGGTCTGGGGAGGTGTGCAGCGGAACCGCACACAGTTACACTGACATGCAGGTCGGAGCCTTTCAGAAACGGTTGCCTTTCTAGAGACAATAAGAATAGACCATCTTTTTGTAAAGAAAAAGAAAAATCTCAGTGGTTATTAAATAGAACCGTATTTTGCATAACTGTTCTGTTATTATTCTAGAGATTTTAAAATATTAATAATGGTTTGATCCATGGAAAAATGGCCAGGCTTCTGGTTTCATAACAATGAATTGTGCTTTATCAAAGTGCTTTTTCTACGCAGAAAATATTTGCAAGTTCCATGATTCAGCTCCTCGTAAATGCAGGCATTTTCTTTCTCCTCCGCTTTGTTAGTCTGCCATAGATGAAGTGCAGTGCGGATTGACTCAGGCCAGCCCTGAAAATGTCGAAATAAAACATTTCAATTTTGTATAACTCCGAAATTAAGACTATTAACTTTGCAAGTCACCCCACTTCCTTTCTTTCTTTTATCTTCTTCTTTTTCTAGAAAATAAGCAGGCATAAGCTTAGTAGTATGCACTGTAAAGAAAAAGATGTGAGCCCTGGCCGGTTTGGCTCAGTGGTTGGAGCGTCGACCTGCGGACCAGAGAGTCCCAGGTTCGGTTCCCGCTAGGGGCATGTACCAAAAAAAATTTTGAAAAAGATGTGAAATTGTACCAGCAGTTTTTTATTTACAGCTTTCTCAGATTCCAAAAGAAAAATCTCAAATTTACTGTTACCCATATGAACTACTCCTCTCGATCCTTTGCCCTTCCTCCCCCGAAATCCTTCCATTGGAGGGAAGAGGAGGAGGAGGAGGGAGGAATGGGGCTAGGTTCTGTCCTGCTGGTCTCCGGGAGCCTCCCTGCCGAATTCCCTCCAGGAGAAGCCAGGGGGTGAAGCAGGATCTATTTCCAGCGCAGGCCCTGGTCAGACTCAAGCCCCCACTGGAAAAAGGAGACAAAATCCAAAGGAATTGAGTCAAGTGGAACCGAACTCCTAGGATGAATTAGGATGAATTCTCCTGCTGCCCAGGACTGTCCACAGCCCTGGAACATTACTGTGCAGAAGGAACAAGACAGTAATGGGGTTATTAGCCGGAAGCCAAAAATTAGTTTATAATTGAAGGAAAATAAACATATTAGACATGGTTTTTATTTATTTGTTTAATTTAAATTGGGCTAGAGAGACTTTCCCTTGAAGGAACGTGAAGAAAGGCAAACATTATCATGTTTTTGACGTACGTCTGCGAGAACTTGAAACACAAGCAGAAATGGGGAGTCCAAAGCTCATAGCTGATAACTGAGCAGATGCCAAGGTCGTCCTGGTGCCAGGCAATCTGGTCACCGCCAAGTGTTGTTTCCCGGTCTCCTGTACCTTTACTTCTGACAACTGACATCACTGTTCGTTATTTTACTTACATACAGAGCATTTCAGAAGCACAAGTGACCAATGGAAATGTGTCCTCAAAACCACCCAAAATACCACTTGAGTATATCATACCCTCACAATTTACTGGCAAATGTGGACCAGCCCTGTGAGATCGGATCAGCAGGGATTCAACTTGCTTCTTTACAAGAATTAGTGCCTCAGAGAGACAAGGTGATAAAAGAACTGTGAACAAGCCAGTGTCTCCGGTCACTGGGCATGTGACCAAGTCATCTCCGGATGGCTCTCATTCCAAAATCCCTGCAGTCATTCGAGGGAGAGGTGTAACTGTCATAGTTTCGAAGTCATGAAAAGTTGGCTTAGTTGTAAGATTTATGTTCGATAAAACAGAAGATAATTTGTCGGTTGGATTTGACTTTGAAAACCTCAGTCGAAGTAGAAAACATGGGATTAATTTAGTAGAGGGAGGGTAGAAATGAGTGATTCACATAGTCCCTGTCCAAGGACTTTCATTCTGCATAGCTTGATGGACCTAAGAATGTTTTTGAAAAGAAGCAAACCACCCAAACCCACTCAATTCTGTACATTATAATGAAATTCTAGGAACACTGACATGTTCAAAATATTTATATCTTCTTCTTTGGAACTTCTGGCCCTGTTGGTGTGATACAGATAAGAAGAAGCTCACCTATTTAAAATTTAACAAGCATCTTTTGCAATATATGTCTGAGGCTGGAGGGAGGGAGGGACCTCTCCTCAGCCCCGCCGCAGAGCTGAGCTGCAGTTGTCATGGAGAGGAAGCTGAGGGGTTTCCGTAAAGGCACACAGGTCCAAGCCCTTGAAGGGAGGTGATTAACCTGATATCGCTTTCCTCCCCAACAGAAAAACAGAGGAAGGCTGAACCTGGAAGGGAGGTGCCAGGGAGGCCTTCTGCCTTAGCCTAGACTCTAGGCAGACTAAAACATGGCTGCCCGGAAAGTTTGCAGTCCTGAGCCTCTGCCTCACATGAGTTCCAAGTTCAAATTTGCACAACTCCCTTGGTCTAGTACCCCCCCAAGCCAAGAAGTTATAAAATAAATAAGTACATCTAAAACTGAAATAGAAAGACAGGAATTTAAAAAGTATAAAAATTAGTAAAAAGAAAAGATATAGATATAGTGGAGAAAAGCAACAAAACTTGAAGTTTATTTTTAGTAGCTTAATAAAATGAACAACTCCCCGAGAAACATTAATGACAAAAACAATAAAGAAGGCACACATTGAAATGATAACATTTGGAATGCCAGGGGAGCCTAACATTAGGTATAGGAAATATCCCACAATAATAATAAAGTACTTTGAATGACTTCATGATATAAATTTGAAAACTTACACAAAAAGATAACTTCCTAGAAAAACATAACACTGGAACTAAAGCAAGAAAAGTTTTAAAACATGAACAAACCTCTAACTAATAAATATATTGACTCAGTAAAAACAAAGCCACCAAAAAGAGAGAAAAGAAGAGAGAGGGAGGATGGGAATGAAGGAAGGACCAGACTTGGTGTTTTTTATGTTCACCAAATATTGAAGGAAGAATTAAATTTGGGTTTAACCTACTCATTTTTATTTTAGGAACTTTGTATTATGAGTGATCATATGATCGTTAATACATGTATCATGACTCAGTTGAGTTTATTTCAGGAATTTAGGGATAATCTATCATTAGAAGATAAGTGAATATATAATAAAAGAAAAATAGCCATGGGGAAAATAAACACTAAATTTAGGGTAATGGTAATGAAAAATTCATTTAGGGAACGCGATACAGGAGTAAGGGCATCAAAATAAAAATATACAATATCAAATATAATATAATAAAAATATATAAAATCAAAGAGTCTAATGTTTTATTTCTTAAGCTAAGTACTAGGTACATTGGTGTTCACTTAAGCTAAGTAGTGGGTACAAGGTAGGTGTTCTTATACCTTTTGCATATCTGAGGTAGCTCATACCAACAAAAGTTACACAAATTGAGGTGGTTCGTCACATTTACAGTTTAAAAAGAAAAATTACATGATCACATCACTAGATGCATAAAAAAAGTACTTGATAATATTAAACATTCTTACACAGTTTGAAAAGACTCATCAAACTTTGACTATAACTGAACATTCTTAAAGTGTTTACGGGTATCAACCAAGAACTTCAGCAAACATTTTAAAGGTGAAATGTTACAAGGAATAAGACAAGAATGTCTGTTTTTTTCTTTCCTTTACATATTTAATCATCTGAACATAAAAGTTAAATAGAAATATCTAAGTTTTAAGAGTTAAGCAAAATACAGTGAACCAAATAGTCTAAACCAGGCACTATTTACACTGTTTTTCATGTCATTCGGAAGCACTGCACTTGGATTTCCTAGCTAAGGCAGAGACCTTTTTTTTAATTAATGAAGATTTGAAAGAAATATCTGTTATTACTTGCAGTCAATTTGATTGCTTATGTAGAACATTCAATAGCATTTAATAATAAACAAAACCAAAATAATGTTCATAAAATTATTTGGTACATAACCCATACATGAATTGAATCTCCTTCCTATACATCAAAAGCCAACAATTGGAAAATGCAATTTTACAATAATTGTATTTATAATAGCAACAAAAACATTACAATTCTAGAAATCTATTTAAAGACATAATGTATTTATAGAGAAAATTATAAATCTCTATTGAAGGGACTCAGGAAAGTCATAGCATGGTTATGGATGAGATGATTCAGCATCATCAATCTAGTAAGTCTTACCAAATTCATTTTATTTATTTTAATCAAACTTATTTTCTGTTAAAATTGGAGGGGGACCTTTGGCAAGCTACGTCTAAAATTTATATGTAAGAGCAAATGACCAAGAATAACCAAGTTTATATTGGAAAAAAACAAGATGGAAGGGTCTTGTTCTGTCTAGATGCCAAAATTTCTTAGGCTACAATAATTAAAACAGTGTGGTATGGCCATGCATATAGTCAAGTAGACAAATGCTTTGTCGGTTTTTATTTTCTTTATTGATTTTTAGAGAGAAAGGGAGAGGGAGAGAAAAGTAGAAACATCGATGAGAGAGAACATAGATTGGCTGTCTCCAGCCTGCCCCCCACTGGGGATCGGGCCCACAACCTGGACATGTGCCCTGACTGGGAATCAAACCAGCAACCTCTTGGTGCGTGGGTCGGTGCTCAACCACTGAGCCACACCGGCTGGGCTAGACAAATGTTTTTAACCAATATCCCAGAGAAAGACACATTTATATGTGGAAACATGTTATATAAAAGAATTATAATAGCAAACCTTGCAAGGTTAGCCATATTAAAAATAAATTAAAAATAGATCTATATCTTATACTTTAGACAAAATAAAATCAACCTAAATGTGAAAAACAAAGCTTTAAAACTTTTATAAGAATATATAGAAAAATATTCCTGTGGTTTTAGGTAAAATAGATTTTCCTTAAGAAGCCACAGCAATACAACTCATAAGGGAAGAAGCTGATAATAAAATTATATTGAAATTTAAAACTTTCATTTACCCCAAAGGAACACCACAAACCGAAAAACATGACACAGATTGGGAGAAATTGTGTGCAGTGCCTAAAACTAATAAAGGGTTCGCACCCAGACTATATAAAGAAGCCTGCAAATGAATAAGGAAGAAGTAAAAACAACCCAATTGAACATGAGCAAGAACACAAATAAATAATTCACAGAAAAGGAGACCCAGAGAGCCAATACGTGTATATGCAAAGATGATCGGCCTCTCTAATAATCATGAAAATGCAGAGTAGGACTGGTCGAGATGCCTGCCTGACAGAATAAAGTGCCTGGCGCCAGCATGCACAGTGCCAGGGCGGGCAACAGGAACAGAGGTCTGCAGTTGAGAGAATGGAAGTGTGCACCGCGACTCGGAAGAACGTTCTAACACTGTAACAAAGGGAACGTGCAAAGCTCTGCACCCACGCAGTCCCGTGTGCACACTCTGGACAGACTCACCTGTGTGCCCGAGATTTATTGTGGTCACAGCAACACTGCAACAGCAAGGGTGGAAATCCTCACGTGTCCCTGAATAGGAGACGTGGATAAATGAATTGTGATCTATCCCTTTACTGAAATACTATATACCCATGAAAATTAACGAATGAGAGCCACATGAAGCAATATAAATAATCTCAAAAAATATAATGTGCGGGGAGAGAAACAAGTTGCAGTTACATGTCGTATAGTAACATTTACATAAAAGTGTAAGGCATGCGAAATGCTACCATAATTTATTACAGTTCCATACATACATATGGAGCAAATATCTGAACACGTGGGCGCCGCTTCCCACCACACGCAGGTCAGTGATCACGCAGGAAGGACAGAAGAGGGAGAGAAATAAGGGATTCCAGTGTTTTATTTGTTAAAAAGAATTCTAAACCTATTTTAACAAAATGTTAAGATTTAATGAAGCTCAGTGGTACGAGTGCCATTTTTTTTATCATTCTCTATACATTTCTGCATCCTCAAAAGAGTTTATAACGTGAGCAGATTATGTTCTCGGTCCCCGAGTTTGCCCCGATGGGGAGTTGCCGCTGACCCCCGCCTTGCCCTCTGCAGGTGATCGTGCGTCTGCAGAAGGAGATCCAGGAGCTGAAGGACGAGCTGGCCCTGGCCACCGGCGAGCCGAGGACAGAGGCGCTCACAGAGGCAGAGGTCATCCTGTAAGCCTGCCGCTGGTTTTCGGTCTCTTGAACAGCAAGTTTGTGTTCCTTTCTTTGTGGGCCCTCATGCTATGAATTCACCTCAAAAGCACGGAGGTCTCGGGGGACAGTCTGCCGTTGCGGGGAGGCGCCAGCTCCGAGGGGCGGCTTTCCAGGAAGAGCTGGACAAGGCTGGCAGTGTTCCCGTCGCCCCAGCTCTGAGGAAGGCAAGGGCATGGGGAGGACGAGTGTGCCAGCTGAAGCAGAGGCATTGTCTCATAGTCGTGCAGTTTTAAAACATGCCCACCAAACACACTTACTCTGCGGGCCTCAGATCTGAAAGGAATTCAAGAAACGTCCTTTGTATCAAACAGCTTTGCTGCCAGCACCGGTTTATCCTGTGCCAAAGTAAGCTCTCCCCTTTCACAAGCAGGTGGCCCATACATTACAGTTCTAACAGCCAGAATGGGAATGAACGCAGGTCTTCAGGGCCTCGGACAAGGGCGGCATGGTTCAGAGCCTCCGATGGGTGGCACAGGGCATCCCGGTGGCCCAGGGTGGCTCCCGTTCCCTCTCCAGCCACGGGGACGTTCTGGTTGTTTCTGTGCTGCGTATTAAGCCTCTGTGGAGTGATGATAATGGACGAGGCTTAGAAGGCAGGGGTGGTTTCCATTTCCAAATAAGATATGGAGCCAACAAGATCCTTCTAAAGGTGCATTGTCATGCCAGCTAACCTCCTAACCCTCTCCCAACAGAGAAAATGGTAGGTATTAGCGATAATAAAAATATTTTCTTTGAACTGTTTTGTGGCTGCCCTGGAGCTAGGTCTGAAGCAAGTTTTCTGTTATACACTAAGCTTTTACCCCTCTAGACAGTATTTCTCAATTCTAGAATGCTGTGTTTAATAATATGACGGGCCTTTATGGCTTTTATTTTATTTTATTTTTTGTTAATCCTCACCCAAGGACATTTTTCCCATTGATTTTTAGAGACAGTGGAAGGGAGGAGGGAGAGGGAGAGAGAGAGAAACATTGACATGAGAGAGACACGTTGACTGTTGCCTTCTGCACACACCCCGACCGGGGCCGGGGATTGAACCTGCAACACAGGTACGTGCCCCCTTGACTGGGAATCAAGCCCAAGACGATTTGGTGCTCTGGTCGACAGTCTGTCCAGGAGCCACACCGGCCAGGGCGGCCCTTATGGCTCCACTTACAAAGCTACTTCGCGGCACAGACGCGACCAAGCTGAAACAGATTGCCAAAATTCACGTTTAACAGATGCCGTGTCACTCCTTGAAATCACTTCAGAAACCTTAGAGACTGAGAAGCCCAAGTTGAGATTCCTTCACCGTGGTCCTCCCTTCACCTCCAAGAAAGGGGTTACCAAATATGATCTTTGAAGATGGCTCTGCAGAAATTGTATTTTCATGTCAGGGTCCAGCCAGGAAGATAAAATCATTCCAGACCTTTCCACAGAAGGGACTGGATGAGGACTGTCCTGCTCAGGAGATGGAGCTGTGGCCGAGCCGCAGCACCAGGCCCAGGACCAGAGGGGCAGTGGGAGAGGTTGTAATACCAGAGCCCGAGCCTGGAGCTGACCGGCAGGGGCGGGGCCGTGATGAACGCTGCCCGATGGAAGCTGGGCCACCGGCCGGCACAGAGGCTGTGAGAGACACCCCCTGGGGGTACCCTCGCTCCTCCCTCTTCTCCCCTTCCAGTCCTGCCCCAGTGCCTCCCATTGGCTGAACTTACCCAGAAGCCCGCTGGGAAAGGGGTCAGGTGATGGCATTTCCAAGAGCAAAAGGGAAAAGGCCAACATATGAAATAAGTACCAGCGTTTCTGTAATTCCTGAGCCCCCAGCACATGGCTCAGGAGGCTCGTTTAAGAGTCAGATTCTGAATGTGATGGTTCAAGATGTGAGACTATATAGTATACCCTGCAGGCCCCCTCGCTGCACGAAATCAGGGGAGTTGTAGAACTGATATGAAAAAGCATCCGAATCTCTAGCCACCCCCAAGAATAAGAAGTAAATTTATCAAGGGACTAGAGGCTTGAAAGAATTCCTGGGAGCCCAGCCAGTGTGGCTCAGTGGATTGGGTGTCGTCCGGTGGACAGAGAGGTCCTGGTTCGATTCCCAGTCGGGGCACATGCCAGGTTGCAGGCTCGATCCCCAGTAAGGGGCGTGCAGGAGGCAGCCGATGGATGTTTCTCTCTCACATCGATGTTTCTATCCCTCTCTCTCCTCCTCTCTCTCCAAAAAGCCAATAAAAACATTTAAAAAAATAAAAAGAATTCCTGGGAGGCTGAAAGGTGGGCCGAGATGGGCAAGAGCACAGGACAGCCCAGGACCCGGGGCCGCCCGTGGAGTCTCTGGAAGGGTGGCCGCTGGCGCAGGAGAGGGCGGGGCTGTTGTAGTGGGAGCAGCGTGCCCGTGCACTCCGGGCTAACCTCTCCTCCTCCACCCAGTGCTTAGGTCCCATTAGGATGGAGAAAGAGGAAAGGGCCTCCGGTAGCTGACGTGGCCAGGATAAAGGGGACATCTGAACCCAGCTGCTGTCCTCAGCTCTGTGGGTCCCTGCGCTCACTGCGAAAAGGAAGGAGCATGAGGAGCACCCACAGCTCGCTGCCCTCACCTAGGGGCTGTGTAGGCACCGCCCGGGGAAGGCCGGCAGCAGCTCCCAGCTGGGTCTGTGGGGACCGGGAGAACCGCGGGCAGTGGGGAGGGCGGGAGCCCGCCTGCCGCCGGGAGGTGTCGGGACCGAACGTCATAGGAGTGATCACTATCTCTAGACACAGAGAAGACGCTGTGACATCCGCGAAACAGCAACAGGGTCTTGATTTTTAACAGAATCAAGAGGAGATCTTGAAAACTTTATTTAAAGTTACTTGTTGCCATAAAGAACGTAATAGATGGCTCAACAGCAGAATGGAAAGCTGCAGGGCACATCAGTGAGCCAGAAAGACCTGGCGAGGAACTCGTCCAGAAGATGAGACACAAGGATAAAGGGAAAGTTTAAAAGGAAGGAATCGCGCCCTGGCCGGTTTGGCTCAGCGGTTGGAGCGTCAGCCTGTGGACCAGAGAGTCCTGCGTTCGGTTCCCGCTAGGGGCACAAGGAAGGAAGGAAGGAGGGAAGGAGGGAAGGAGGGAGGGAGGGAGGGAGGGAGGGAGAGAGGGAGGGAGGGAGGGAGGGAGGGAGGGAGGGAGGGAGGGAGGGAGGGAGGGATCGCCAAGAATAGCTCCAGAGTTACCAAACTCTGGCAAACAGAAGTTTGTGGGGGAGAAACAGATAACTCAGGGGAGTGAAGAGTTAAAGAAGTGATATTTTAGAAGTTCTTAGATCTAAAAATGAAAAGGACATAAGATTTCAGAATGAAAAGGTTAGCATGTGCTTAGCAATATATTATAGAAAAACTTGAGAGCCTTAAACTATAGAAAAGTTATCAGAGAAGAAAAATGTTATTCTCGGTTTCACCTCTGGAAACAAGAACGTGTAGTGCTGAGAAACAAAACAAGACCAAACAGGACCGTGAATGGAGACTTTTGTGTCTAGCCAAATCAGTATTCAAGTGTGGAGGTGAAATAAAGGCATTTTTCAGACATACAGACTTTCAGACAGAAAGATGACCACCCTAATCCTCTCTTAAAAGAAACAACCACAGACTATACTTTCACACACATACAAACATTGTATAAAGTACAAGAAATAATAATGAGCAAATTTTGTCATATCTTCTTTATGATACATTATATATATATATAATGTATCTTTTACTAACTTGCCATTTATTACGTAAACAGATGTTTCCTTTTAAAAGTTATTGACACACCCTGGTCCATTTGGTTCAGCGGTTAGAGCATCAGCCCACAGACCAGAGTTGTGGGTTTGATTCCGGTCAAGGGCATGTACCTCGGTTGTGGTTCGATCCCCAGCCCTGGTTGAGGTCATGTGGGAGGCAACCAATCGATGTCTCTTTCACATCAATCTTTCTCTGTCTTTCTCTCCCTTCCACTCTATCTGGAAATCAGTGGAAAAATATCCTCGGGTTAGGATTAAAATAAATAAAACTTACTGACAACAATCAAATGCTATTCACGGGAGTAGAAAGCAGAGAAATAAAATTGTGACAACAGGTTTAGAATACTGACGGACACTTAGATTATGGATTGCTTTCCTTTGATCCACAAGGTAACAGACATACAAATGTCAATTGGAACAGAGTCTACATAGAATCTGTAGGGCTGCCATTAGTTTTTGTGGGCAATTCATTCATTCATTCAACATTTATTGGTATTCGCAAAAATCTACCCTCGGCCCTGAGAGGAACACAGAGATGAACCTGGACCCAGCTCTTAAGGGCTTCACAATTTAATGGCACTCACAGACACAAGCACAAGTAATTATGATGAAATATACAAGTGTCATGAAAGACAAACAAAACATGATTGCAAAGATAGTAGTGATTTATTTTTGAATCAGAAACCATGTAAAATTAGTTCATAGGCTAATAACTAAACTTGAACAGTTTCCAATGAAACGACTTTTCCACTGTCAAGATAACTGGATGGCATCGCATTCATGAGTGATTTCTGGTCGGCAGTTAGGGGACCGTCACCAACTGCATACCCGCCCCCCCAAAAGCAGAGCACAGGGTTACAGCCCTCCGGTAACTCCAGTGCTCCTTCACACTGGCAGTGAGATTAGTCAGCTAATGTGTGTTTTGATATTGTTGCAGTTACATTGTTGCAGTTACATTGTTGCAGTTATATTTTGCCGTAATTACCTAGATTGAATGTTGCTGCAAGTTAAAATTAATCAGACTTGAGGGTCCTTTAGTATCTAGAAGTAAAAGAGATAAATGCAGGTCTGCCCCTCAGGTGGCAGTGCTGTCCGCATCAGCAGACCCGCCAGTCTGTGTCACAGGGCCTGGCACAGGCACTGGGAAATGCCAGTCAGCGTCAGGCCCCTCGGAAGGGTCCCGCGGCAAGTTAGGACCGAGGGCAGAAATGGTGTCTCTCT